CAGTCCTGGCTGCTAACACACGCTCTCTCCTGAGGGCTGTGAGGGTGGGCGTGGGGAGCACAGAGCTAGGGGATTCTTGGTGCTCCCATCTGCACGCCCTACTCCTTCTAGATGGCGCTTAGGTCTTTCCTGCTCCAGAATGTGGATCTGCCCATATAAACCTTCCACACCCACCAGGCTTCCTTCCCAAGCTCATGCCTGTCCCTGCCCTACTAGCTGGGTAGCCCTGGGGTGGAGGCCTGGGACAGGCATTGTCCGGGTCCGGAGGCAACGAGGCACACAGGTCCCAGGGAGTCGGCCCAGAGTTGCGCACATGAAACTGCAGGAACGATGAGGTGGAGCATCAAGCAGCCCATGGCAGGGGATGGGGCTGAGGGAATGGAGCTGGAGCAAGTCCTTCACAGCAGCACATGATACCCAGCCCCTCCCCTGCCTCCACTCCTCACTGCCTGGTCCTTCTACCACCTTCTGTAAGAGCAGAAATGCCCCCCACGGTGAGTTGGGGTCCCCTCCATCTATAGCGGTCACTGCGCCTGTCCTATCTCCTCATTGGGTGGCCCACACCCCAGGGTCCATGTGGACATGGATGGAGGAGCACAGAGCACCAGGAAGAGGATGACTTCATTTTCTCACACTGGTTTTTCCCCAGACATAGTGGTCATTCTTCAGCACAATCCTCAGTACACATCTGTCAACCTTTGTGGGTTCTCAAGCTTGGCTGCACGTTTAGAAGTACCTGTACCGAAGCATCGCACTCCCCAGGCACCGGTTTACTGGGCTCAAAGAAGAACGCATACGGAGTGCTCTGGAGAGCAGAAAGATGATCGTTTCATATTAATCACCCCTCCTGTTCGTCACATCTTGCTGCCTTCCAAATCTGCTTTAGAACGCTCCACCTCCAGGAAGCCCTCCCTGACCAGCCCCCATCGCCTGTTTCCAGCCTCTGCATCTGTCTTCAGCTCAGGCGCTGGCTTTACACCGTGTGAGTGCACTCCCCTGCCATGGGCTCCGAGCCTTGTTTAAGAAGTTCTCTGCACCTTATCTTTCCATCTGGCCATGAAGAAAGGGCTCATTTTCCCTTTCAAACCAGGCCCACCCCTGACTTGGAGCCCCTCCTCCCTCTGCAGCCTCACCCCCACCCCATGGGGATGTGCATGCCCCACAAGCCACTAGACCTCCGTGAGAACCGCAGCGAGGAGTGGGCTGGAAGGACCACGGCTTAATCAAAACCAGCTCTGTGCTCACACAGCGGCCCAGGGGATAAAAATAATAGTAATAAAAGTTTAAGAGCAGCTTGTACTTTCTGTCTATTTTAATCAGTTGCTGATGAAATGGAACTCCATTTCTAGGTCTGGGCCCCAGGACCGGAGTCCTTCGCTGGTCTGGTCGTGCCCGAAGAAGCATGGGGGCGGACGATGGCAGGGGGGGTGTGGGGGCCTCCCTATAGAGGGGAAAACATGTCCTTATATGGACAATGCCTCACCCCTTCCCCTCCACTCTAGCTGTGGACTCAGCCCTCCAGACTCGACTCTGTACGCCTCAAGTCAGGTTTTTTTTTTACTATCACTCCCCGAGACCCCCTTGTCGTGGTTACCAATGAGCTCCAGCTTCCCAAATCCATGGCCAACGCCCAGGCTCATTTTACTCTACTTGGCGGCATCATTTGACGCATTGATCTCCATCACTCCTTTCTTATCAAAATGACACCATTGGCTTCCGGGACACCCCTCTCTCCTGGATTTCTTCCTGTCCCTCTCATTGGGACCATTCCATCCCATCGCCTTCGCAGACTTCTGTCCTGCGATATTTCTCAATGTTGGGTTCTGCCTCCTTCCTGGCTCCATCCACAGCCACTCCTTAGGGACCTCATTCAATCCCAGGACATTAAATGGCCTCCTATGTGCATGGTTCTCCATATCCTGTCTCCCATCTTGGCCTCTGTCCTCAACCTGGATTCATCTAAATGCCATGTGACATGCCCACCTGGATGTCTTATGGGTACCTTAGGCTGCACATGCAGGGAACTCTTTTTTTTTTTTTTTTTTTTTAATATTTTATTGATTTTTTACAGAGAGGAAGGGAGAGGGATAGAGAGTTAGAAACATCAATCAGCTGCCTCCTGCACACCCCCCACTGGGGATGTGCCCGCAACCAAGGTACATGCCCTTGACCAGAATCGAACCTGGGACCCTTGAGTCCGCAGGCTGACGCTCTATCCACCGAGCCAAACCGGTTAGGGCAGGGAACTCTTGCTTGTTCCCCCAGCCCCTGCATTCTAATCTCTGATCCGCACATGCTCCCCACAAACACTAAGCGTTGCCTTTGACTTCCCTTTCTCTCCATTTCCAGTTCATCAGCCAATCCTATCAGCCCTACCAGCAACATAGATGATGAGTCTGATCACTTCCCACTTCTCCCACAGAGCCTAACCTGCCACTGTCTCCTGCCTGGACCATTTCAGCCACTCCCAGGGGGTCTTCCTGCTCTCCCTCTTACCCCCTGGAGTCTGGTCACCACATGGCCACCTGAGAGATCCTTTAGATGCTCAGCGTTGTCCCTCACTTAGAATAAAATCCAGTTTCCTTGTTCAGCCTACATGGCCTGGCAAATCTGGTCGCTTGTCCTCCTCAACCTCATTTCCTGCCACTCAGCCCCTTGTTCAGGCTCAGCCATCTGCCTCCTTATTCTTCTGGGAATTTCTCAGGCATAGTCTCACCTCAGGGCTTTGCTCTCACCATGACCTCTGCCTCTGATCCTGGGGACTCCTTCTCTCCCACTCTTCAGGTCTCTGTTCAAATGTCACTTCCTGAGAGGCCTGGCAATCATCCTCTCCACAGCAGCCTCCCCTACTCCCATTACCCCACTTTGCTTTTTCCAAACACGTGACATTGCCTGAGAGTTTATGACATATCTGTTCATCCTCATTACTGTCTCCCCCTCACTAGAATGTCAAGTCCCTGAGAGTAGAAACTTCTGTTTTGCTCACTGCTTTCAGCCTCAGCTCCTGGAGCAGTGCCTGGCACAGAGTGGGCACCCACATATTTGTTGGATGAGAGATAGTGTGGGTGCCCACTGGAACGTTACCTCCTACCAACACGTGCACAAGTCTCCCTGGTCATGAAGCCCTTGGCCTCGCCAGCAACTGAGGCCTCGCCCTTAGCCGGGCAGGGTACTGAGGGGTCCTCTGACTCCTGTCTTGGGATTCTGGCCTACAGAAGAGCTTTGTTTCCTCACCTCTCACCTGGGCCAGAATAAGAGGTAATGGGTCACTCAGGCCACATGTGCAAAGCACTTCCCAACAGGGAGGGCTGTTACTGGAGAGTGGACACTGCCATACTATCCACTAGACCAGTGGTTGGAAAACTGCGGCTCGCAAGCCACATGCGGCTCTTTGGGCCCTTGAGTGTGGCTCTTCCACAAAATACCACGTGCAGCGCATATACAGGGCGATTGAAACTTCCTGG